CCCGATTTTTGTTCAAGCCATGGCTTTTCATATATTTTTAGAACGTTGATGAAATTAATTAATTTGATTTCTGCCCAAAACTGGCAAGTATGATTAAATAAATCGAACGATTTGGGCCCAAATTATACATGCCTTGGAGGGCCTTCGGAAAATTTTTTACTAGGAAGCAAACAAAAGTATGATTTATTTAAATATTAAAAAATTAAATCATCTAGTTCTGAGTGTGGAATATCTTGACTCCATTTTAATTTGGGCCAGAGCTAACAATTATTTTCAACTGAACATTTTCCAATTTCTTTTGAGTATTTTTCTTAACTTTAATTTATTTTACGGTTGGACTTTTTTTAAATTTTAAAAATCTTTATTAATTGCATTCGCCAACTTTAAAATATATCTTATAATTAGCAGCTATTTTAAGTGGTTTTCTTAGCTAATTGAACAATTTCCCAACTAATTCTTTATCATTGTCCTATTCCAGTTGAGTATAAGGGACACTGCCTGCTGGACGCTTGCCGCAAATGCGATTTGTCGCGTGTCAAGAAACTCGTTTGTGCCGAAATTGTAAACTTTGTGCATCCGTACACGGGGGATACACCACTCCATCTGGCTGTGGTCTGTCAGGATGCGAAACGCAAGCAGCTGGTGGAGCTGCTGACACGCAAGGGATCGTTGCTCAATGAGAAGAACAAGGCATTCCTCACACCGCTGCATCTGGCCGCCGAGCTGATGCACTACGATGCCATGGAGGCGCTGCTCAAGCAGGGCGCCAAGGTGAACGCCTTGGACAGCCTGGGCCAGACGGCGCTGCATCGTTGCGCACGCGATGAGCAGGCGGTGCGCCTGCTGCTCTCCTATGCGGTGGACAGCAGCATTGTGTCGCTGGAGGGTCTGACAGCCGCACAGCTGGCCTCGGATAGCGTGCTGAAGCTGCTCAAGAATCCGCCGGACAGCGAGACACATCTGCTGGAGGCGGCTAAGGCTGGCGATTTGGATGCAGTGCGTCGCATTGTGCTTAACAATCCGCATACGGTCAACTGCAGGGATCTGGATGGACGTCACTCGACGCCGCTGCACTTTGCCGCCGGCTTCAATCGTGTGCCCGTCGTGCAATTTCTGCTGGAACACGGCGCCGAGGTGTATGCTGCCGACAAAGGTGGTTTGGTGCCACTGCACAATGCCTGCTCGTATGGCCACTACGAGGTCACCGAGCTGCTCGTCAAGCATGGCGCCAATGTGAATGTCTCCGATTTGTGGAAATTTACGCCGCTCCACGAGGCCGCTGCCAAGGGCAAGTACGATATATGCAAGCTGCTCCTCAAACACGGCGCTGATCCCATGAAAAAGAATCGTGATGGCGCCACGCCTGCTGATCTCGTCAAGGATTCGGATCATGATGTCGCTGAGCTGCTGCGTGGTCCATCCGCGCTGCTGGATGCGGCCAAAAAGGGCAATCTGGCGCGCGTGCAGCGTCTTGTTACGCCGGAGACGATCAATTGCCGGGATTTGAATGGACGCAACTCCACGCCGCTGCATCTAGCCGCGGGCTATAATAATTTCGAGTGCGCCGAATATCTGCTGGAGCATGGCGCCGATGTTAATGCCCAGGACAAGGGCGGTCTCATACCGTTACACAACGCCAGCTCCTATGGGCATTTGGATATCGCCGCGCTGCTGATCAAGCACAAGACGGTGGTCAATGCCACGGACAAATGGGGTTTCACGCCGCTGCATGAGGCCGCGCAAAAGGGTCGCACGCAGCTGTGCTCCCTGCTGCTGGCCCATGGTGCCGATGCCTACATGAAAAACCAGGAGGGACAAACCCCCATAGAGCTGGCCACAGCAGATGATGTCAAGTGCCTGCTGCAAGACGCCATGGCCACGTCGCTCAGTCAGCATGCGCTCAGCGCCTCCACGCAATCGTTGGCACACAGCTCGTCGGCGCCCGATGCTGCTGCAGGGGCTGCTAATGCAGCAACAGCTGCTACGGCCGCATCTGCATCTGCATCCGCGGCGGCGGCGGCGGCGGCACTGCTCTCACCCACCACGGAGACAGTTTTGCTGCCCTCGGGCGCTTCCATGACGCTCAGCGTGCCGGTGCCGCTGCCTCTGCACAGTTGTGCCACACGCCTCAGTCCTGCCCAGGGCGCCGAGGCACATGGCGCCGAAAATACGGGCAGCGAAGAGCTGCTGCAAGATCCGGAGTCGATAACAAATGTTTCCGGTTTCTTGAGCAGCCAGCAATTGCATCATTTAATCGAGCTGTTCGAACGCGAACAAATCACTCTGGACATATTGGCCGAGATGGGTCATGATGATCTCAAGCAGGTGGGCGTATCCGCCTACGGGTTTCGACACAAGATACTCAAGGGCATTGCGCAGCTGCGAGCCACCACGGGTGAGTACCGCATGCTCAAATTAAATTCTTTAATTTATCTCGTTATTCTCGCCAGGCATTGGCAACAATGTGAATCTGTGCACGCTGCTGGTGGACCTGCTGACGGATGACAAGGAGTTTGTCGCCGTTGAGGAGGAGATGCAGGCTACTATACGGGAGCATCGTGATAATGGGCAGGCGGGCGGTTATTTCACACGCTACAACATTGTTAGGGTAGGTTTGACTTGAGCCAATTCGCTCCAGCGCTTCGACTTACAATATACAACTTTATTGCAGGTACAAAAGGTGCAGAATCGTAAGCTGTGGGAGCGTTATGCGCATCGACGCCAGGAGATTGCCGAGGAGAACTTGTTGCAGTCGAACGAGCGCATGCTCTTCCATGGCAGCCCCTTTATCAATGCCATTGTGCAGCGTGGCTTTGATGAGCGGCACGCCTACATAGGCGGCATGTTCGGTGCTGGCATTTATTTTGCCGAGCACAGCTCGAAGAGCAATCAGTATGTATATGGCATAGGCGGCGGCATAGGCTGTCCATCGCACAAGGACAAATCCTGCTATGTGTGTCCCAGGTAGGGTTTCATCAGAGCCCACCTAGGAGTTGCTGTTACTAATTGTTATCTCTCTTGCAGGCAACTGCTGCTGTGCCGCGTTGCGCTGGGCAAATCATTTTTGCAGTACAGCGCCATGAAGATGGCACATGCGCCGCCCGGACACCATTCGGTGATTGGTCGTCCCTCGGCGGGTGGCCTGCACTTTGCTGAATATGTTGTCTATCGGGGTGAACAGGTAATCTATATAGAAATATGCTTGGCAAGCAGCTCCACTAACATATACGTACATTATTTGCAGTCTTATCCAGAGTACTTGATAACCTATCAAATTGTCAAGCCCGATGATAGCAATAATGGCTCGGAGGAAACAAGCTGATGGATGCCCTCGGTTGGCTCGACGCCCACAACAACATCGCCGTCACCGCAACAGCAACCACTACAGACCTCAGCGCCAGTTAAAGTTTTCGCCACAGTAACAGCCAAATTCACAGGCACGGCCACGGCCACAGCGACAGTTACAGTTACAGCTCCAGTTGCCAAGCGGCGGCATAGGCATGCCCAGAAATATCAACAGCAACCAGTGCCGCATTTGCCTTCTTCGCCGTTGCAGTTGCAGTATCAGCATTATCAGCCGCAGCAGCCGCTGGTGACCACTACGCAACCAGCACCGGCTGGTGTTTTTAGCACGCACAACAACAACATGCACCATACTTATAGCAATATTAACAATAACAACGCCAACAACAACAACGGCAGCAACAATGGCAACACAAATAACAACAACAATGATATGTCACCCATATCGAATAGCAATAGCTACTCTTCGGTGGACACAAATCAAACGCTACTCAACTCGATTGCCAATCAGCGCGGAGGCAGCAGCCACAGCCAGCAGAATCGTTCGGCGCCGAGCCACAGCCGCAAATATAGTCAATTTATGATCATCACGCCTGCCGTTTCCATTGATCGGGATTTTGAGTATGAATCGCATTTGGATTTCGAGGACTTTGCCAATGCGGCGCACAACAATGGAAATCTGTTCCGTTTGGGTCTGCGGCGTAGTGACAGCAGCAGCGATGACAGCGGACACAGCAGCGACAGCAGCTTTCGCTCCAATTACAATCCCTATTTGCATCACAGTCGCCAGCATTTGCTGGCCAAGAAGGGCCATAATAATGGAGGCGGCGGCGCTGGTGCACATCAATTTTATGCCTTCTCCTCCTCCTGGCGCTGGTGCACGTTGCTGTGCGCTGCGATGCGTTGCTTTGGCGCCGGGCATGGCAATCAGGCCCCCTACAGCAGCTCCTTTGTGCATCATCGTTTACGTCGCTGCTCCTCCTACAATGCAGATATCGCCTATGATTATGAGCATTTCGCAGCGCCGTTTAAAGCTCGTAAGACACGCGATCATATGAATAATATTACGTATGAGTTGTGACGGTGGCCGCTGCCTGAAATCGTTATGCATTTTGATCTCTTTGTCGCCGTTGTATGTGTTGGTCTAATCCTAAAATTTCAGCTCCTTATTAGACTTTTATTACAAGTTATTATTAGCTATAAATGTCGTGTACTGTGTGTCGTCGTATATTCTAGCTACTTTACAAATCTGATTGTTAAATCAAAAAAAAAAAAAAACTAAAAGGGCAGCACATTTTTTGAGTGATTTTAATTCGAACTTACGAGTAATTAATATTTAAAAGAAATAATACGATAATACAACAACAACAAAAAAGAATTGAAAACAATACATAAGTATGAGTATGCAATATGCACGCGCGTTTACTTAAGTGTTTAAATTTAGCTAATTAATTTAACAAATGACAACAATTCAAACTCCAATTAAATTTAAATATACATATATATATACAAATAAACTAACAGTATTTCAATAAAATGATTCAATTTGAAAAGCGCGCGTACTGTGTGCATAGCAGTAAGCTTTAGATCGGTTGGCTGCTAACAGCTGGTAAGTCAAGACGTGAAGTTGTTCTCAAACTGGCTGGGCTCAAATGCAAAAGCTGGCAAATACAACACTCACCTCTGCTGCTGCGGCCGTTGCTGCAGTTGGCGTAATTTGCAACTGTCAAACCGCTGTCAAGTTTAAGTGCGCGTACAAAAATGTTTAAGCTGCCGAGCGCAGTTTTAAGAATAATGATGATGAACGCCAAAATACGCAAATATCCTTCTTTTAGCCACGCACACGGCACACACATAATCACATTTCACTGTCAAAATGCGGCACTTAACGTTGCGGTCGATGCTCGTTTTTGCTCTTCTCTCATTTCTCTTTTTGTTTTTTTTGGCAACATATGCAAGTAATTTGATTAAATTATATAATTACAGGGCACCACAGCAGGCAAAGAAGCAACTGCTCTGCCACACAGTGACGGAGGCATGCCACCACATTTTGGCTGACCGGTGATAAACAAGGAACGTTGGCTGCGACACTCACTGCAGGCCGGGACTAGTGCAATTTGGATTTTCGCATAACAACAAATAAGCACCAGGCACGACCTACATCAGGTGACGTTTTAATGTTGCACACCACTTAACACACACACACACACACACACACAAAAATGCCTCTAACAATATCAATAAGGCAAGCGAGTCGTCAGCTTTTCCAGCTTGGCTTAAATACTGTCATTACAACGGCCCATTGCATAGCTATAATTTAATTAAAATATAGAGGCATTAATAATTAAATACATAAAATGTGCCTGTGGCACAGACACTTGCCGCATGTTGCGCTTGCAATTGCCTATGCCGCGTTGGGACTTAACAAATGTCATGGACACCTAATTGTTAACACGCCCCAAAGAAAATGTTAATCGTTGGTTTTTTTTATTCAATTTGGCATATACAATATACATACATATATACTAAATTAGATGCTGAAAAGCGTCTAGGTAAAAAATTAGTTTAAATTACAATTTGTTGCTTTGTTGTTTGGTTTGATCTTAACTGCCTAACTCATTCGGTTAATCATCCATTTCATCCATGCTGCTTGGCTCCATCGATTCGGGTTTCTGCGTTTGACTATGCTCATTCGCAATGGACGCTTGGACCAGTTCGCGCGTAAACTTCTCGACCAGGCGCATGGACATCGCATGTGGCAGCTCGTTCAGCGAATGCGATACAAATTCGCCAAAGGCGCGAAACTTTGGATATGTGGTTATTGCTGTTATTGTCGTGTTTGTTGTTGCTGCCGTCTGCTGTTGTAATGTAGCTGGTGCTGTTGCAGAATGGCCTTCTGCACGTCGCTTGGCAGCCGGCGGCTCCTCTTCCGGTGCTTGCGGTGCACGTTTCGGTTTGGCTACGCGTAGCAGCAGCTCCGGCTGTCGACAGTTTGCCATGGGAAGCGCTGCTTTCCCATTGAGCATGTTGTTATTGTTATTGTTATTGTTATTGTTGATGTTGTTGCTGCTGTTGTTGTTGTTGATGTTGTTGTTGTTGCTGGTGTTTATCGTATTGATGCCATTCGTGGGCGTGCTGTGTGGTATGCTGCAATAGAGTTGTATATTAGTTGTATACACATAGCTATGATCTGCACTCACCTGAGCATTGTGGTCACGGGCAGCGGCCCATCACAGTCATAATCCTCGGCATCGTCATAATCGGGCTCCAGTTCGTGCTTAATACCCTTGGCTGGTCCATTGCTTTCGCTATTCCCATCATCCACATCGAATGGCTCCTCGTCATCCTCTTCGTCCAGAGATTTACACTGCGTCTTATATGAACGTCTGCTGCGTATGTGCTCCGAGAGAAAACTAAGATTCTCGAACAATGGCCACTGGCTGCCCGATATCGACAGCGAATTGTTTTCCACGCGTCGCTTTTCGATATTATAGCGATTACGTAGCGTGATCATGCGTTCACGCAATATAGAAACTATGCGGGGCGGCCATTAGAAATATGATAGTAATAACAATTAGTTGACTTTTCCAGGCATTTATTTATGTTATTATTATGTACAGACTTACCGTCATAGCCCAGCTTGTGTGAGATTTGCATCCAGAGCTGGGCAACGTGTATTTTATCCTTGAAGCGCTTATTCGACCGATCATATAGCGCTGGCCGTGAGCGAAATTCACGTATTAGACCCAAATCGAATTCACCGGTTTGCGCGTAAGAGGCGCGCGGACGGCCCCGGCCCTTCGGCTGATGTACGGGCAGCGAGGGGTTCGCCTGCAGCAGCGGCGACGAGGCACGTTCCATTTTCAGAATGCTCAGGTCGGGCTGTATTATGGTTTTGAATTCGATTAAATTCGTATTCATATTTAAGTTTATTAATATATAAATTTAAAAAAAAATAAAAACTGTAAATTGTTGGAATATTTACTCGAAATGGTTTTTTACGCTGCCTGCTACGACGCGCCAGCAAAAACAAAAACAACGAAAAGCGATAGGCAAAGTAAAAAAAAAAATGAAAAAAATTTATAAATAAAAAATATTTAGGCGCTGCGCGGGGTACATCACATTATGTTTGTATGTATGTATATGTACATTTAATATGTTTACAATTCGTTTTACTCGGTCGCGCAAAACTTACTTTCGATTTGCACGCGAAATATATATTTTACTTTTAACTCGATTTGTTTTTATATTTAACACACAGCAACAACACCAACAATAATAAAAATAACGAAGGCACACACAACAGGCGGGCAAGCAATTGCTCGGCTTGTTGTTTTTTTTTTTTTTACTCTTCCACCAGCAACGACGACGACGTCGACGCCGACGCCGATACCATCACAAAATGCACCAAACGCGTGGCATAAAACAAATAGCGCAAAAATACCAAAAATAAATACTAACAGCAGCTGATCGATAGCGCGCTATTTTTAAATTTGGTGTACACATTGGTGAAAATGTCGAGTGTTGAAAAAAAATCGTATGCTACCCTTACTTCGAATTAAATTTTTAATTGAATACATATATTTGACATTATACTTAAATTTCACTTTATGCAAATTTTAAATACACTAGTTTTTCAATGCTTACGAATATTTGCATGCTATCTTGTTTATGTTATTTTGTATACAGTTAAAAATATTAATTAAAGGCAATAAACCCGGAATAATAAATATGCATGTTCAAAAATACATTAAATAATTACAGTGATCGCTCGCAAATAATAGAACAAAAAACAAAAATCAATTTTAAAACTAAGAGTTATGAAATACTCAAATTTATATTTCTATCAATCTCCTTTACTGAACGATTAAATTTTTGAAAGTTGTTATATTCCAACGTCCACTATTGAAAACTCACCCGATTTTCCATGCTTGGAACGCAACTGTACCAAGTTGACAATTATAAAGGCTGTAACGATGGAAAAAAATTCAAAAAATGAAATTCGTTTGTTGAATTTTTAACATAAAATGCTTGATTTTAATATTGTAAATATTTCTTACGATTAATATAACTTAACATACTAGGTTATTTTTTTTATATTTAAGCTTAAGAGAGAGAGATGTCTAGTTATATATTATTTCGATCAATCGATTGTTGTGGCACAAACCGCTCATAGGCCGGGACAAGTGCAATGTTTGATTCATAAAGCAAAACGTTGACACCTTCCCGTCCTGCAAGCAATCTGAGATATAGACATATTGTCGATCTGCTTATTTTTGGTGTATAGAATTTCACAAGTGCCCAAAAGAACCGAATTACAATTAAATTGTTTGCTACCAAAAAGAAAACGAGGATAAAATAAAAACAGGTAGAAAAACAGATCAGTGCATAAAAATCTCATATTTCAAAAACACACAAGAAAATAATATATTAAAAAAAAAAAAAAACATTTCATATTAAATTTCCGCCCCTAACTTGAACGCTGAACTCTCCCCCGTCCTTTATTTATTTATTTTTTTTTTTTGGAACATCTTTGTGCGGGCGAGAGAACAATGGATCGCTAAGGCTCTGAGCCGGGCTCTTCATGAGGCTGGCGAAACTAAAGTACCTTTGCCTAGCAGGTAAATTTAAACGCTGCAAATCAAGCGTTAAATGCCATTTACTTACGCCTCAAGGAATTCCACATACATACATAAGATCGTATACATATGCACCATATACTAGACTTTAATGCTTATGTATTATACATATGTATGTGCTGCTGTTGCCTAACATCGACAAATTTTGAAATCCAAAGCGTGACAAAATTCGTAGAATCTCTGGAGGCAGCAAAGGCAAAGCTGGCAATTATGAATTATGTGAGAGCTGAGAGCTGCTGAGCTGAAAGAAATTGCCAGAGCAGCAGAAAAAAATCAAAGTTTTCAGAGCACTTACATACATGTATATATATATTTATACATATATTTATGTGGGGACTTGAGTGTTGGGGCTGCGACAATTTTTTTTCTTCCTTCTTTTCTCGTTTTTGTGGCTCGCAGCGTATCGCCTATCTTTGGCATACACATAACAAATGGGGGAGCACAGAGCTGGTTCGGGCATATTTGTTTATATGATCGCAGCGAGCATTAGCTTTAGATTTAATGACACACACACACACACACTTAGGAAATTAAGCCCCAGCGAAGACGAAAAAATGAACGAACGCTGCAATAAATTCATATTTATTTACTTTTCTTAGGCAAATACGCCCCCAACAAGCCCGGGCCAGCCAACAACAACAGCTTCGAAACTGGGGCTGCCCGAATTCGTGCTCAAGACTCGGCTGCTCCATTGAGGAATTGTAAAGCACCCGGCCCAGAACGACCAAAGCGGAAACGCAAATAGACGCGCGATAAAAAGCAATAAGGAAAAGGAGAAAAAAAAAAAAAAAACAGAACGCCACATAAATTTGAAATAACTAATAATTCAATGAAAAGCGGGCAACGTGAAGTATATCATGTAATAATATTTGTTCAAGCAAACAGCTGACAAGACTGAAACAACAGTCTCAGCTGAGGCCAACATGCAACACATTCAACATGGGGCAGCAACAGGCAAACAGCGAACGGCCAGTTTCTCCCTCCTCTCTTTTGCGGCAAATCTGGCTTTTCTTTAAAAGTGCGATTGCGCGAAAAGTTCTGATAAATAGCTTGCAGCGGGAATTGTGGTTTGTATTCAAAGCGAATTTGACTTATTTCTTGATTTGTTTGTAGAAATAATAGAAATAAGTTATTTATTTATAAATGGACAGTATCTGAAACAAGACAGAAACAAACTCACATAGCTTTAATTTTAGCCTTTTTTAGCCTAGAACTAGTTTTTTTTTGCTACACAAAATGGACAACACTGGCAGGCAACCCACCATGCCTAAACCAACGGGCGCACGAACGCAGCCAACACTTCAGTCCAAGACATGGTGAATAGGGGACAGCTGCAGCAGAGGGCGCGGGTGCGGCGTGTGAATTGCTTTTGGCATCAACAGATCGGCCAGTGCTGCCAACTAGTCTCGATTATGTTGCACAGGCAATATGACGAGCATACCAGGCTGATGGATGCATACGCAGCTTGTAAACATATACAAGCAGACTGACTGCGTTAGCTTGTTATTATATTATTAGTCGGTGGCCGAATGAAGAGAACTTGATTTTGAGGACGAATAAACATAATAATATATATGCCATGTCATTAGATCATAACGTAAGAATTGGTTATTAAATGTTTACAAAGCAATCAAAAAATAACTACAGAGCACATGGATATATGATTATATAGCTCAAAACTAGCATTCAAAGTTATAATTTAGATAAGTTAGAAAGATAACTAGATGAATTAATTAGATATATAGATGATTAACGCTGGGTTATGGGTAGATCGTTGATATATGTAGGTATCGAATAATTTCTAAGGATATGACATCAAAGTTTGTTTTCTGATAAAAGAAAGGCATATGTTTGTGCATTTCCGTATAGAATAACTTTTGATTTTGCTACTACTATTATTTTTAAAAAAGGAAGAGGAAGCATGCCATGATATTTATAAATTAATTTATTTCTAGATTCAACGCCAGGCAATAAGAAACTTTGCTCGTTTGCTGCTATCAGCTTTATGAACATTGCTTGGAAAACATATTTATAAACAATTTATTGATGTTGCCTTTGGGATTTGTTTGTAAATATTCCAAGCATAGGAATTTTGTTGATAAGCCCAATGTATCCGAACTATCTTTAACTATGGCTTGACTCAAATGTAGATTCCCATACGGAATAAGGCTTTGCTGCTGTGTCTTATCCGTAGATTATGCCATAAAATTATAAACTATCTTTGTTGAATTTTCACTTGTCGCATCTTTGTGCTAAATTCGCTGTTCATTTTATGGCTCATAAGCATTTTGAGCATTTAGTGTATTGGCTGTAAACTTAATTGAGTGTGGAGTGGGGGTAGGGGGGATTAATTAGTAGAAATGCAATCGTAAAGCGAATCATAAAAAAACGTATTGGCACAGCGATAAATCGACGATAGTTTCCAATTTGTTAGAGTATACAAAGTGCGTTGTTGCTGCAAATCTTTGGCCAGCTCCTTTCACGTTTATGATTGCGTACGGCCTTTTGTCTGTTGTCCGTTGCCTGTTGCCTGTTGATGCTCGATGTTCTAGTTTGAGCGGAATCATATTTAATGACTCCGAGAGAAGCAGCTCCTAATGCATTGACAGGGACAGGAACAGGGACCCGGACGGTAGCTGGCGAGGCGGGAGGGGGAAGGGGGGGGGGTGCACAAACGTTAATGGCTGCTAGCCAAAAACAGTTGCTTCTTGTTGTTGCAGGCACACAAAAAATAACTGTATTAAATGGCCAATGCCAATGCCAATGCCTAGGACAGCTTCGCAACGTGGCTTAGAAAGGTTCTGCGCGGCCTGTTACAATTTTTCGCCTTGCCAGAAGAAACCAGTTTCTGTTGTCTGCAAAAGGCAGGCGTTTCGCTAGCTAGGCCTAGCCCTGGGCTGTGCCAGTGCTGTGGCAGAGCTGTCTCATCTGTTGTCTATTTGGTGTGGCAGTGCCAGCCTCCGCCTGTTGCCTGTTGCCATTTGCTGTGGGCCTGTTCCCAGTGCAACATTTACTTTGTTGCCGAGATGCTTTCTCTGCGACCGTGGTGTTGCCAGGCTGTGGCTCGCACTTTGATTTGGTTGCAAATTCGGTTCTAAGCCAACGTAATCGAAATGCAATTAAGAACTCTGTGCTCGTACTCTGCCTATACCCCATACACATGAACGTGTAAAACGGGTATATTGCACGTGAGCACGTCCAGAAGGAGACAGGTGTGTCAATCTAGTCACAGATCACATTTATTTATCAATATTATCAAACAGCTCTTCTCCTATTTCCAGCTTTAATAGACAATAATTCCGACAAAATCAAAGTATTAACAGACCTATTTGGATTTGGATACCATATTAATGCCTCGTGGCTAGGATAACTCCTAGTCGGAGACTCTCGACTGGAGCACTATTGTTTTACTATTTTGCTGTTGTTGTTGCTTTTGTTCTGGCTCTCACACGAGTCTGGGCCATTTTGATATGGCTTTTAGAAAGTCCAGTGCCTGGCGTCCGAGTTCGCGTCCAGTGTCCAACTTTGGGCGAGTGCCATTTGGAAAGGCGTTGACGTTGGTTGCACTCGTTTGCTGTAGCCGCTGCTGCTGTTGCTGCCGCTGCTGCTGCGTCTGTTGCCATAATTAAAGGGTTACGGCCATGGCCAAGACATGCCAATCGCTAGAGTCCGCAGCCATTTGGCCAGTTCTGAGAGCCGATATAGGCTGCCATGTGAATTGTGCGGCGGCTGATATGCATAACGGTGTTTTAATATTAGATGGCGCAAATAAGTGGGCATGTCTCCCCTGGTTGCTGCAACAACTGCCAACTGGCAACTGGCAACAGCAACGGGCGGCAACTGGCAATGGGCACAAAACCATTGCCCACATTCGCATATATTCTATATCTTGTTGTTGCTGCTAACACACACACACACAAATGCACACTCACAAATGCACACTCACAATCACTAGATAGTTGCCTAGTCATTTGCTTGATATTGTTATGGCATAATATACGTTCATTGTCTATATATGTGTACGAATGTATATCTGTGGCCAACTGCCTTAGCATTACAGTTTGGCAAGCACTGCAAATGACCAGCCATCAAGTGCATTCAGTTTTATTGGCTTGCAGTCAAATCGAGCTACAAAATTGGCATGTTTGTGGCTCTCACATGGTAACTGGTGTGTAGGTTGTGGGAAACTGGATGAAATAATATGTGATGTAAGACATGCCAAAGCTGAAGATGAAGTTACAGAAAAAAAAGTTACATTACAACTGGTTAACCCTTTCCTTTAAGAACATCTTGAACCAACTTGAAAATTGTTATATTCATTTTTTTCTCGGTTCTCTCAGCTTGTCTGCTGCCATTTCTCAGTTTATTTCAAATAAATCTTTAAAAAATGAAAACTCAAGAATTCGTAGAAATCGTTTTCGTAATCTTAACTGGCAAACAAAAAACTCAGATCAAAAATATTTCTGTTTTTGTTTTATCGCAACCATACTCAATCTAAAAAACCATGGTGTTAAATTTAATCCCAATATCATTGATAAGAATTGGACTTCTATAATATCTCGTGGAAGTGATTTTTGATCTAAGCTCAATAATTGAACAACAGGTGGCGCTTTTTCAACATTCACTTAAGCTATGCTAAAAAGTTAATTTTACGATCAGTTTAAATTAAAAGTCATCTCGTTCGAAATCCTTAGCCAAATGATCATCTCGTTAGCAATAAAACTAAAATTCCGCACATAGCTCAACTGTTGGCCAGAAGAGCGAGAGAACTATTTGGGGATGCTGAGGGGGACACAACCGAAAGCCTAACAACTCAATTACTAGAGCCTGCTGCGAGAGGCTGAGGCGTTGGAAGAGTCAAGCAGCCTGGCTTAAAATGCAATTAATAGGCCTCAACATACACACACACACACACACACACTCGCACACACACTCAGAGCTTGTTGCCAAGTCAGTAAGCAAATCATTAGCGGCCAAATTTGCGCCCAGTTATAATCCGTGAGACTTGGAACCCAAGTCTTGAGCTCACATTTCACAAAATTCTCACACAAATTTCAGATGCGAGATTTTCTGTCCAACGAGATTCTCGGATGCTGCGCAACGTGGCGTTAAATGTGTACCAATTATGCTGTCTTTGAGTGTGTGTGTGTGTCTGTGTGTGTGTAAATTCGCCTAAGCAAAGTTTTGGCAAAGATCTTCAAGAATTTATGCCTCGAATTTCGTGCAGGCGAACTACATATTTTCAAAGAGCTAAGCAGAAATTTCGTGAACGCTTATTAAGAAAAGGCTGCCCCATAGTTTTATGGGGCATTCTGCTCTCTGTGTGTGTGTGTGTGTGTGTGTGTGTGTGTGTGTGTGTGTGTGTGTGTTTGTGTGTGTGCGTGTGTGTTGCTATTCGATAGCGCCAATTTGACATGGAGCCAAGGAGCAAGCACACAAATTAAGTTTCATAGGAAGCGAGACGCAAAAAAAAAAAAAATGAAAAAAGCGTTACGAGAAAAAATACTACCTGGACAAAATACATATTTCATCTCATTTGCACTTGTGCTGCTTGTTTCGTGTCCCTCTCTAATTTCGGATGTGTTTTGTTTTTTTTTTTGTTTTGCTTATGTCGAGATCGTAAAGCTAAAGCAGTTAAGGAAAAGAAGAAAGAAAGTTCGTTATGCCAATAAAATGACGCCTCATTTAAGGAATGGAGAAAGATGTCGAAAGAAATTGAGGGAACACATAAATTTTAGGTAGCTTTACGATTATATTTAATGAGTCGTAGAAAGTAAGAAAGCTAGGGTCATGCATATACATATGCATATCTCCGCGCTAAAAGTACCCTTCGCTTCCAGAGGTAATTCTGATTTGCAAGAATTTCTACTATATAAAAGGGGGCAGACATTTTGAGTAGCTCCAATTTCCCAGGGCCTTCGCCATGCATATCCATAGATATATGTATATCATAGCCTCAGTTCCAAAACTCCAACGCATATCTTGAGTCTTGAGAGAGCACACAGAACCGAAATCAATATCCAATCATTAATCGTTAACTAATTCCATGAATTTTGGCAGACGGCCGGCACTCGGCGATCGCCCCCAACTCCAAACTCCTCAACTCCTCAACTCCTCGACTCCAAGCTACACTGGCCCATTTACCAAGCTTCGAGAACGCAACCAGACATGCCACACTAAAGACACATATTTATGCCCCGCTAGCAGCGCTTGGCGTATTTAGAACGGAGTCGGTCACAAAAAACAACAAACAAAAAATATCAAGATAAAAATATTTTTCGGCTGCCCTTTTTTAGTTTTGCGACAGCAGCTGCTTCGCTGGGCAACGGACAGTGGCTCCTAAACCAGCCTATTTGTTGTTGTTGTTGTCGTTGTTGTTGTTGTTATCGTCGCGACGTCTGCCCAGCTTCCAAGTCCCAGTCCCAGTCTGCTGTCCTCCTCTGTGATCCTGGGATCTCTTGGACTTTGCGTTTTGAATTCGATTCCAAGTTTTCTGTTTCGTTTTCGATTTCGTTACCGGCGACGACGACGACGACGACGACGACCATGAAACAATTTTATATTTTTGCGCAGAAGATCAATAAAATTGTACCGACGAAGTGTATTTGGGATGCTGCCCCAAAATTAGTGGCCAAATTGTCGTGCAGAACGAGTTTTGGGTCACATTTTTGGTTACACAGTAAGCGAAGAAAAGGGCAGCACAAAAAATAAATAATTTTAACTTCATAAATTCTTTGTTCGTCGCGCAGCTAAAAGTGTTGAAGTTGCGCTTAATTTATGTGAGACAGGGAGTCGGGGGGATCTATAAGCAATGATCTGGATCATGTTGAGTGCCTCATAGAGATGAAGATGGATTCGTGATAAGAAACATGCGAGGAAGAATGTTTAGGTTTAGAATTCTTGTCGTTTAATTGTCCACAATTCAGAAACTTCATATATGAGGTCTTAAAATAAAAATATTAGAAATCTTAAAATAAAAAATATTAAATACTAATTCGTTAGCTTTTGAACTTGCACTAATAGGGTTTTGTTTGAAAAATTTAAGCCAACTGCTCTCAATTTTCGAGTGCTTGCTTACATATTTATCTATTTAACTGTTAATACCCCCATTATGTAATTAAAGCAGCATTCGAAGATTTAATAAAAAGAAAGCAGCAAAGGCAATTCCAATGAAAAAATAAACAGCATGGCAACGCCGTGTGAGTTCCTGCGCGGCCGAGCGCCCCGTAAGAAAGGTGCGCTGCAGAATTCTCAGAAAATGCAAACCCCAAAACAGAAAAAAAGGTGCCATGGATGCTGCGCGTGTGTGTGTGCGTGTGTGAGTGTGGGAGGTTGAAGTAGGCAACACTGGCAGCGGGGCAGACGCCGTCTGCAATCATCATTCGCAGGCCGGCACTAATGAATTTGTATGCAAACCGCAGACATTTCATGTTTTATGTTATATGCCAATGATTTGGCACAAAAACAAAGGGGAGATGAAAGAAGAAAAAAACAGTAACGGAAATGCGCGCAACACATAAAAAAGGATCAGCGGCAACATTTTGCAAAATTAGTGCAGGCGGCCAGAAAGGTGTTTTTTTCTTGGTATGTATTAAACAAAATCCAGAAATTAAGTATGCATATACATATGCGTGCACATACATTCGTACATATTTTGATTTATGCATAAGCAATAAAAATTATAATAATGAAGGCGCTGACATGGGTAGCAGATACGCTGCACAAAGCAAACTGCAAAAAACTTGAGCGACTTTAGCCGCACACGTGATGCTTGCTCTCTCGCTCTCTTGCGTTGTCGGGCTGCCCTTTTTGCTGCTCTGCTTCTGTGCCGGGACCGTTACTTGGCGCGCAATACCATTGGGGGCGTCACTGCATTGTAACAGGATGAGTCAAAACGCACAAAATACTTAAGCACAATGAACTACTTGTTTGTACGGTTGTTCCGCGTCAACTTATAAGCGAAAGCTACGACCACCGATATAAGCTTTTGCGTCGTTAAAGTTTCGTCAAAGGGCATGATTCTCCCTCTCCACTCGCTGTAAATTTCTGTTGCCGTTTAATTTATTGCGTCATAGGCCGCAATGCAAAGCTGTATGTGTTTGTATGACGGTCAAACTGCAAGCGTCAGTTATTTGATGGTAGGACATAAATACGGAATTTGGACTTTGTACAGGCTGTAAAAAGTTGAGAGAGCAGCTCTGGTGCTGCTGCGCTGCTGCACCCAAACGCCAAACGGTTAAACATAAAAACTAACGGCAGTTTTATAACTCTAGCATAAGATTACCTTTTGAGTGCATAGACTTCGTCTGCCATCTTGTTCCTCATCGCCGAAAAAAAAAACAGTTGAGCGCTAAAGAAAACCATTTCGGCGACGAAAATTTTAGCGGACGAGTGGGCGCAGGCGCAGGCGGTTGCCAGATCCCCGAAGATGATACACAAGCAATCAAAAGAAATGCAATGGCTGCTGCGCTGACTCTTTCCTTGTCGTGCTGGTGCTGCTGCCGCTGCACTTGCTGCACCGTTAGATCCACGTTGTTTGGAGTTTGGCCTCGGCCTCAACGCGAGTTCAAGATCAGCCACTGCCGCACCCACCAACACTGCATCTGCGTAGCATTTTGGTTTTAAACTTTACAACGGCAGCGACAACAGCAGCAGTCGAAATGTTGTTTTTGGCATATTTTCTGCATGTCTCTTTGCACTTAACACACACAATTAGTTTCTGTTCGTTACGTTCGGCACTTTGTCTTTCGTCTTTAAGTAACGTTTTTGCAGTTAACAAATAAAAACACAGCACCGAGACACAGACACCAACAAACTTTAACGAACCCACGAGAGATCATTTCAACGGCAAAGTTCGCGTTGACTGAAAGAACTTCTTGAACAGAGAGAGTTCTTATGCTACAACCGTCCTCGCCGATGGTGCGCGCGCAATTGATTCCTGCTTCAGCGACGACGTCGCTCGTAAGCGTCAGCCACACAAACCAAGAAGAAGAAGAACTCCTGCTGTTGCTTCGAGAAGGTAGCAGCGATGCAGGCAGCCTGCCAGGCAAAGAGGCAAACACAAAAGCAGCGATGTGCGCTGGTCGATATTTCCAGGCACGAAAATGCACGAACACGAAATGTCTCTTGCTGAGGTGACGAACTGCTTCGTGTTTCGGCCCGTGCTCATCTCTACTACAAAGCATAATAACGGACGTTTTTTGTTGCTTTGCCTTTGCAGCAGCGACAAAAGGCAGCGCTGCTACAAGCTACAAAGAGGAGCTCATCGATCATGCGTTAGGGTTTTTGTATGCGCATGCGCCGAAGTGCATATGCCCTGCTAGATTTTTTGTTTTTCGTATACAATGTTATGGAAGTCCTTAAGGTAAGAACACTGTTGTGGGTTTTTTTTCTCTCCCTGGTTTTAGATAATAAAAAATATATAAAAACGTTTTTTGTAATGGACTCTGTACATACTACGTATACAAAACGTGGTATTAAATCTTTCGGGTTGTAGAAATGTCTAGAGGGATACATATGTAAGTGTTAAGTAATTTAATTGATGTTTGAATATAATGCAAACCATCCTAGAAATCTCTAGAGAGTACTTTAAAAATTAAACACACCGAAACATAGAGTAAAGTTAAAAGGACTGTAGCTCTAATTACGAAACTATTTAGCATAAGTCTTTTAGATTACGGTTACTTGCCCTTTAAGTACACGTATTTTTTAGTCTCAATCACATTTCGTACAATGCCTGAGAGTTTTGAATCGAAAACGAGACGGACAACTAAACTAGAACACATAAGTGTCCGCTCAAGAGAGCTTTCACTGCATAGCCAAATTTTGTACCTTTATCATAATAACTCGGATACAAAGAGTCATGCCTAATGAATGCCCAAAGATCTGCCCCTTTAAAAAGCCTGCAAGGCGTTGCCATATACCAAAACATATATATTATTTTATTTTAGACTTTAAATAAAATATGAAAATAATTAGCTAAGGATTTTCGTAATTAATGTGCTGCGCCCTGCAGCAGAAAAAATGCGCAAATTGTGAAGTTAAGAGCCACAAAAAAAAAAAGAGAAAAAGGAAGCGAAAAACCCGAATCGCCGAATCGCCGAATCTTGCAGAGACAACTCCATTAGGGCAGCCCACATTTTGTTGGCAGGTGCAGTTGCAGCTTGATGTGGCAAGGGTGCCACAATGGAAGAAAATGGCAAAAATAAAACAAAAATCATGAGGAAAGTTTCGCAAGCACTCAAGAGTTTTTTTTTCGTATGGGCGCGTGGCTAGAGTGCAGATCGGAGACCCGCATCGTGCAGGACATCGATCGATGACGCGTCGCACGAGACGGCGACATGTGCCGTCGCTTGTGGTCGCCTGTTTGGGGGCCTGCCACAGAGGAGGGGCAGCGGCAACAGTCGCAGTCGCAGTCACAGCAGTTGCAGCCGCAGCAGCAGCAATTTAGCATAACTGCGCGAATGGCACAGGCATCATTAAACACATTAACAGACACACAGACACACACACACGCACAGCGGCCGGGCACATGGCTAAGAGCAGGCAGGTGATGGCCAAGAGGCCGACAAACAGTTGCTGCAGCTCGCATGAATGACGGACAAATTGACAAACCGACTGAACTGAACGACTCAGCCAGCTGCTTGGGCAGAACTGTACTGCGCAGCCGGCGTTGGCTTTAATGAGTTTAACCCGTGCCTGCGGGCAAGCTGCTGGTTTCCCCTCTTGCCCCCCGTCTTTCCCCGTTACCTTTTAAGTCCACTTCTGCTCCTGCCAGGTCTTGTTGTTAATTACAAAAGGATGCGCCGCTTGCCAGGATAACAGCTGCCGCAGTCGCAACACGTAATGCCAATTGATTTGTGCCACGCCGCAAAGCTCAGCATTTGCCAGAGGCAGCTGTACAGCTGGCTCTCCTGTTGGTTCCTGCAGATCCTGCACAGCCTCAGACTGTGCCTGCTTTCAGGGAAAACCTGAGGAATTCAAAGCTATTTTATCTTATTCTACTTTCAATAACAAGAACTTTAATGCTTGACATAAGTGTTAAACTTTCTTAGAGTGTACAAATTCTAAGTTATTTTTTTACGAACTAGATGCTTAAAATAAGAAAATTGTTCTCAGTTTAAGAAAAACTCCGAATTTCTGAATTAAAATGAAATTTTTTTGTTTAGTATAAGAAAAACTGCGAATTTTGGGCCTTTTGTCAGCTAAAGAAAATTTTCGCTTAGATTCATTAGAGAAAAACTTTTATTTTGAACATGTCTTGAATCTAGTCTAAAATACTTATATCAATAATTTACATGCTTAAATTGAGCAATATTTTCTAATTGTACTTAGGTTTTATGTTTAGAAATTTCAGAATTTTAGAAAAATTTCTCAACATAAGATTTTCGACTTGACTGTGTTTTATATAGAATACTCTTGGGTTTTTTTCTTTCACTGAATATGTGCAATTCTAATGAACCACATTGTCTCGCTCAAAGAAAGCATAACACACACACACACACACACGCACACACACACACACACACACACACGCACACACGCGCACACCCAAAGATCTCTCTCCTCAACAGCGAAACTAGTTTGCGTCGTCTTTGAAAAACCGGTAACAGTTATGAGCCCAGCATCCAAGGTTTCCCTTGCCTGTCGCAAAAAAAAAGAAAAAAAGAAGGAACAAAATTCATTGAAGCGTTGGAAATTATGTTTTGATTTTCCATATGCCATAGAAGCGACAGAACTCCTAACGAACCATGGCAAATTGTCGAATCTGCCAACTGTCTTCACACCTTTGACGCGGCGGCATTCGGTTGATGGGCAACGCTCTGGCTGGGCATGGGTTTCGGTTTGGGCTTGGGTTGCGCATATTACATTGTCGTTTACAAGCCACCCCATTTAACTGCCACCGATCCGGCCCTCTAACCCATCAAATGGCCCATTACACATGGCCACATGACGAACATTCAAAAAGTACACACAACCGAAATGCTTTATTAATTGTTTGTAATTTGTTTATGTTTAACAAGCAATTTGTTTCGTGTCGAACAGGGTATTCTCGCCTTGAGTCTGGAGAACGCTAAACCATCACTCACTTTGTGCCCCCGAAAGCTAGGCTAGTCAGCTATCCAGATGGAAGGGCTATAAAAATAATTAATTATAGGTAAGCATTTGATATTTGTGGAAGGTGTTCGCAGATTCTCGAAGGTGATCCTCGAAGTGAGAATGGGGAAAAGATTGAACTAGTCCGGAAAGAGATATTTAACTGTAACTAGAAATTGCCGGAAATTGAGATTTATCACAATCCTCAGAACTGATCTTCATTGCTTGAATAGCTAATGCTTTTCTTTAGCTGTATTTTGATCGAATAGCTGAACTATTACGAGAAAGGAAATCTACACGAACCTTCGATCATAAAGATCTATGCATGGGATCCTTATCACTTTTCTAGAATTTATGTGCAAATTGTCGAAAGATCGGGACAGAGCTAAGCTCTATTCCTGAATTTAGTTCGAAATAATACAAAAATATAGCCATAAACTTTAAATGATCTTCAAAAGTGATCATTGATCCTCTCAGTGACTGTGCCGAGTTATCTTTAAACTTTTCTCGAACTCACTTCGAAAAATAATATAATATTTTCTGTATCCTTTGCAATTGTGAAAAGTTTCTCATGATCCTCAGCAGTGAACCTCGTTAGACAACTAGAGCTTTGTTTGTGTTAGGATTTTGTTTGCTTTGAATATATTTTATATAGTATAGTATGTATGTTCGTTTCTCATGATCCTCTGATGTGATCCTCGGTGCGTGAATATGAAGTGCAATGCTTTTGTTGAGCTTTTTCATTATTCGACCCTATGCTATTCTCAACCCTTTTTTGTGAAAGAATTAAATATTTTACATAATAATACAATTTGTGAATATTTTCGAACGATCTTGCTACACTTAAGATTGAGTCACCCCATTTGAAATAGCCTCAGTCCATACGCTTGATATCACATCAAGATCAAGCAAGCTTAGCATAATTAACATAATAATACAATTTGATTATCAATTTTTTAGCGATCTTGCAAGTATTGGTATTTACATTGGCCGCGTACTTCGATCCCTTGTTGATCAATGCGAACATGATGCGATCGCAGGCTACGCATAACTCAGCGTGTCAACATCCTATATACACATACATACATATTTTTAATAAAGTTATAAATTTGTATCAAAAAAATAAACGCGACATTGATCTACAGCCGTTGGGTGAATCACAAACGATCTCGCTGATCTTTTGTTTCTCACAGTCAGAGAACAGAAGGAAGTATTCTTTCAGTACTTTGAGACAGTTTGCGTAAATTTCGGCAATTTTATAAAAGCAAGAGCTACTTAAAGTGATCGCAGGGCAACTTTATGACCACCAAATGAAAAAAAACAACACAAAAAAACGAGAAGCATATCAAAGCAAATAAAATCAGACAAGAACAACATGTGAACGATTGCAAATTACAAGCAAAGATCCGCACTGAAAGCCCAAGACTAAAGCAAGACCCAAAGTCTGAAGCTGTCTCTGTTCGACTGTTCGACTGTTCGACTGTCTGACTGTCTGGGGGTCTGTTAATATCTGGCGATCAGGACCAGGTTTCTTTGCCTCGCCTATGCTCTAACAAGGGGGTATTATAATTTTCATATAAAATTTGCCAGGCATTGAAGAAATCATAACAACTGCTTGATCAGCTCCATGAGCAACTGCTTCTATTTGAAGTAGGTCTCTCTTTGTGCTAAAACTTGATAAAACTTGTTACAGTTTCTTATGTTTCACATATGCTGACATCACCCTGGATCGAACTGTTATAGCTATAGCTCTCATTCATGGCAACTGTATTTTTGTTTTCGCACATATCTTGATGATCGACTGATCGAATCAAAGAATCAGGCACACTTTTTCCGAATAAA